TGTCGCGAATGCGTCTGGCGTTGAAATACATATATTGTATGATGAAGATCATTTGTCGGCACTTCTACGAGGATTGTTGAGCATTTGGCTTGTTCCTCTTCGATTGCTGCTTTGTACTTGCGCAAACGTAGGTGACAGTCCTGGATTAGCACCCGAATCATTCTGCGTCCGTTTTGCAGGGCCGTTCGTCGACCAAGCTCGGTGTTGACAAGAGATTTGTACGAAAGGAACTTCATAGGAGTTCCTCCTACGACTTCCGCCTACTTGACGACACTTCTGACAGGGAGAACAAGCACTAACTGAGGATGTTCAGCTACGGCTACGAACATCGAGGCCCGCTGAACTCTGCCTCCATTTTCACTGCAAGAGGTTTTTTCCAACAGCCTACCATTTTAAGATTTGAAGTTCAAAATTAACTGCAAAACATTGCTAAATGTTGCCCCAAAAGGACAATTTCTGCTGAATTATTACGACCTTCTACGTCTATTTGCACATATTGTCAAATTCTTTTTTGAATTTGTATTTTTTCGAAACTAAATTTGTATAGATAGTGCCGTACCGGCGCTAACAAATATAAATTCCCAATTCCAAATTTTAAACACTGTCTGAGAGATGTGGAAAAAATAATGCAGACCGGTGGTCGTTAAGGTCCTGTGTGGACTGACCTTGGGAAGTGATTGGCCAGTTAGAACAGACACGTCCGTGACCTTGACTGGAGCTTTGACGCCATCTGATGCGCATGCGCTGGTGGACATGAGAGCCAGACATGTGGGACCTGCCCCAGACGAGTGCGAGCAAGGCGTGGCTTAGAATACGAGGTCGCTAGAACTACTTGCTACTGTCTTCACCGTCGGCTCGGGTCATTAAGCGGGACCGGATTTCTGTGCTTAAGACGTCGGTAGTGTTGGGTTGCCGAAGTTTTACGACACAGAGGAGTCTCACACGCAGCATTTTGCGCGTACATGAGAGATGAACCTTCAGGCGTGTGCGAACGAGAATATGGTCAGACCCGCGGGTGTTACCAGTT